TTGAAGTGTTTCCAGTACGTTAACGTAAACGTGAACGTCAACGCACAAAAATAATGCTTACGGTATAGTCCAAAATATGAGTTGAAGTTGTTAAACGCATCGTGACATTTACGTGTCATGACAGATAATTACAATTATTATTAGGATTTCTTCTTTCCCAATTAAAAAGAGGTTATTTTATTTGCGTTACGTACACTTACTTTGATTTTCTCTTACTATACGGATAATGGTCGCACTGCGCAGCTTTCTGAGTGCCTTTTAAAAGGAGATAGAAAACTCCGCCATTTTGATGCCTTATTACGTATTGCCTACACCTTGGCGCAATATTTTTAATATTAGGCATTCCAACGACCTGTCCAAATGGCTACCAGTGGGTAATGACAGTTTAGATATGGCAACCCTGTTGTCATGTTGTCATTAACAGGGTCAATGATACATATATAGTTATATAGATTGCTCAAAGCTGGTCGTTTACGAGCGGCCATATTATCTGGTAAATATTTATTAATTTGAATCGGTTTAGCAAAAATGTGTTTTAAAACCAATTTTTAGCCTTTAGGTATTTAAAAAAAATAATTGCTTATATTTTTACTTTAAGGCATAAGCTTATGTTTATTCTGAAAAATATGGATGATCAATCTATGTAACTATCTATTTCATTGATCTTGTTAAATCACCAGGTCTACAGGGTTGCCATAATTTTGCCATATCATAACTCACTGGTAGCCATTCAGTTTGGAATGCCTAATTTTGCTTGCTACTGTCAGTGTCAGTGAATATTATTTTTAGAGTCACAGTTTATTGCTAAAGAATCAGTTAGCTCACTCAGACCAGTTGAAAGTTCCAAAATAACATCCACTTCAGGGATACAAAAGGATGAGCAGAAGACTGCTGTTTTATTATAGGCCGTTGTCATATATTGTATTATCCGAGTTGCGCAGTGTATAAACTAGAACATTGAGATCAAAAGTGCCGACGCAGAGAGAGCGAACTGATTCTTTAGCTATAAACTGTGGTAAAGGCATCAAAATGGCCGCACCCTATGTTGGGCGTGTCGGACCTCTCTCTTGCACCGTATAGTAATCAAAGTATGTGGTTACGTGCATACGCCAGAGCCTGCAAGCTTACGTATGTACGTAGACGTGAAAGATATTTGAATGCGCATGCGTAGATGTCAATTTTCACGTATACACTTTCGTCCATAGCTTCAACTCTATTAACTTTGAAATACGTTAAACAGTAATCCTGCATTTACCAGTGTTGGCTTTGATTTTAATTTATTCTACATATATTCCTTATTTTGTGGGAGATTTTATATTAGGTCATGCAGGCTACATTTTCAATATTAAAATATATTGTTGTACTTATAATAAAGAGAAAAATGCTTGTTATAAAAATTGGACAAACCAAAAAAGTATTTTTTAGAAAATACAACACTTTGAGTAATAATAATCCAAACCTCAATTTTAGAGGATAAAAGTGTCGCGTAATCCTGAGTGTGATATCTCATATGAGAGCTAATTTGATCAGTAATCTAAACCTCCATTAACGTAAACCTGAGAATACCGATCAAGGAGAAGCGACAGCTTGGTGTTTTCAGTGTACCGTTTTGTAACGCGCATGTGCGAAAATAAGTTGTGTATCACTCAAAATGAGCAATGTGAGCAATGTTAAGTGATATTTTTTGGTGTTTGTTTTGTGTAGTAATAAGATGAAGATTTTTTATACACTAAGGTATTCTAATACAGATATAAAATGTGCCAAAAAAGTTATTAGGAAACTAAGAATTTTATCATATGTATAAATTTTAAGTTTAATGATTTAATCATTTTTGACATTTTATTTTTCATATGTAGGTATTGGATTTTCTGAAATATATGTTTGTCTTCTTTTAAATAAATTTAATAAACAATGAACTGCAGATTTTGTTTATTTTATTTTGAAATAATATTTTAAAAAATATAATAAATCCGCGTGTTTCAATTAGGATTGGTCAAAGTGGGCGAATTCCCTTTATTATGGCTAAATTGTAAGTTACAATTATGTCAATATAAAGATGTTTTGGCCATTCATATTTATATTTATTGAATAAATCATACTGGAGTTGATTTTGGAAATATTGGTACATTTTTAAATAAGTACTATTTCTAAAAATTTGTCTATGCCCAGACAGCACACATAGTCCAATGGACGTACATCTTAGATTCATTTGAGGGTCAGCACGTCCGTATCCGGGCATCCACTGTACGCCCGTTTATGCTAATTAATTTTACAGCTGAATATCGATACCCAGAGAACGTCTGTTTTTGGACTTAATTTTAAGTTTAGTAGTATTTTGACGTCCAGTGGACGTCCATCTTAGGTCATTATTTATTAAGCCTACCAGATAAGTCCCATCTATATACACTTTCTTTTTTTAATATAATTGGTCATTAAAAATTGACAAAATGAATCTATTGCATTTCATTCTATCAGCGGAAATTTGAAATCTTATTCCATTATAACTATATCTAGTAAAAAGTTTTCAAGTAGTTCTTTGGTCGAGCTCGTCTAGCGATTGAAAGCATAAAACGATAATGGATGTGTCGTGAGTTCGATCCCTAATCCCTACTGATCAAACAATCTTTAATTAAATAAAAATAAATGATGTATAGCGGTTTGCGAAAATAATATACAAATTATTAATAATATAAAATAATGTGTGATGAGTTGCGGTTCTGTAAAAAAAGTGGGGATGTGGTCTCAATGCAAATATAATCCTGGACATTTTTTGAATGTCCAGTATTCAACGTCCAAATATATTCCAGAATTGGACGTCCTCTGAATGGTCAAGAGTGTGACATTTTTATACTTCACTGAACGTCCATTGGATGTCGGAAGTCCAGAAAAAACTGATTTTTGGATTTATAGACATCCAAAATTGTATATCGAATGGACGTCCAATGGACATATTTGTATTGTCTGGGTGATAAGCCAGGCCAGGTATTTAATTCTAAATACATAAACCTTAAATGATATCTGGCATATCTTTGCGAGAAAACACTTGTTTCTACAGAAATGAGTAATAAACTTGAAAGTCCATTTAATATAATATAAATCCAGAAATTCTAAAAATATGTAAGTATTTTTTAAGCTTAAAAGCTTTTAAAATAGATGCACATTGCAAATATTTAGTTAAACCTCTGAAACTTAATGTCTTTTTAATTGTTACCAAATTTTTTTTTGGTACCCTTAATTTTATTTACCTTATCTTTACTTAAAAAAAAGGTAATTTAATTTAAATATGGGGCTTTTATTACATTTTAACAATAAATAAACCAAATATTGAACAAATTTTATAGATGAATTATAAAATAATAAACGTCTTTTACCTTTATAACAAATAATTAATTATTACATAATGAATTATATTTTGCTGCCAAAATTTTACCATTGCTATTAACCCTAACTATTTTAATGTAATTAAATCACATTACAACATTTGCGCATTGACTATAACGTTTTCAGATAGTTTGCGAAACTGTTTCGCTCAGTGTAGAAAATAAGCATGTTTTCTCAGCGTATTAAGTTGTGTATTAATCAAAGTCATGTTGTGAAAAAGGTCCTCCCGATATCAAAGGCACCGACAGCTACTGTCGCTTCTGCTTGATCGGTATTCTCGGCCTAAACCATGTTGCACCTGTAATAAAATCAAGCAAATATTTAATGGTAGCGAATATGAAGACTAGAGATATACAGGCGAATCGGCAATAGTCAAATTTAAAATTTAAAATTTCCTTCCTTCTTTTTATAAAGTTCGCGAAATTGACTGTAGTTGGCATATCTAATGACAACGCAGTCAATTTTCTATTTAAGTCAATGTAAAATGAAGTGATTTTTTAAAAAATTGATGGAAAGAATCAAAATATTATGAAAAAAAGTACCTGAGTACAAGTAACATGAGTGACAAAAAATATCAAAGCAAAATTTACATCGTTTCAAATTGTAAAACAGGATAAAAATCAAATGTAAAACTAAAGAAAACACAAGAAGAAATCAATTCAATGTAATTTTAAAGCTTTTAATGTAAGTAAAATAATGTATTCATGTCTAAATATATTTATTATAAACTAGTCACAATATGTATCTTACAAAGTGTAGTTTATTTTATTATAAGTTTCTATATTATAAAATTTTACAGTTATAGATGCTGACTTACAAAACAACAATAATTATGCATTAAATTTAACTTACTAGAAAAAAAAAATTAATTTTTTTATAGTTTTAATGTTAGATAAAAATTGCTGTTATTTTTTTTTTTTTTTTTGACGCCAATTGTATAAATGTAAATGTTTTTTTACAGGATACTAAACATTTAGAACAGTGGCAGCATATATATCGTTCCTAGTGCCGATAAAAGACTTTCTAGAGATGATGCTGTTCTATACTTTTTAAAAGATATTATCAAATAATATGAGACTACTTTTAGTGATGGTACTGTTAGCAAAATAAAAAGTGGAAAGCTGAAATTAAAGGATGAGGTAATACCATGTACATTCCCAAATCTCCCTTTATACTTGTATTACAACAATAAGAAATCTGTTAACTGTGTTTTATTTTACTCTTAAAACTATATAGTGGTTCAATTAAAAAAAAATTGCCACAAAATTGTACTTATCAAATTTCAGCAATGAAGAAACCTTTTCGAATTTGGTCATACATACCTAATTTGTATTTTATATAGATAAAATTAAATAATTTACTAATTAAAACATGCAAGACTTATTTAGAAATAAATACAACAGTATGTTCTGTGCTTTATTTAGCCGTAAACAAGTTTATTTTTATTATTTTGACAAAATTATGTATAATTCCCATAAGAAGCCATGTATTTTGAACAACGTATGCAGTACCAGCGTACATGCGGTTAATTATAGAAACTCAATTAGCATGCGTTTTTTGGGACCGTATTTTGAGTATGCCGTTTCGTCTCCTTATCTAGTCTTCATATAGCAGAATATCGTCATTCAGTATATTATGCAAGTAATGTCTTTGATATTATGACATTTCAAGAAAAATCGTATATATCTAAGATATTGACATTTAAGTTATTTGTCATCCCGATCAGAATTATAAAAATAAGAAAATTCCATAATGGCCAGCGAATGTAAAGTAAAAAAACCTCAACTCCATGGACTTCTTAAGAAAAGGGCCATAAGAAGTATATATAATGCCGTTATTAGTGCTGCTATTGCAGGCTTTTTATTCAGAATGGTGGTATGTTCACCACGACAACAAGCATACAAAAAATTCCATGAAGCTTATGATGCAAATGCAGAATTTGAGAAAATCAGAATGACGGGGGTTTTTGATTCCTGTTAACTTCTGTCCAAAATCATATTGGAATCATTCATACGAATAATTAGCTTTATTTTGTAATTTATTGATACAAAAATATATGTAAGTACATATTTACATTTGTTTTTTTTTTTTAGTTTAAAAAATCCTTCTTTAATTAATAAGAAACAACTTCATTAAAAAATTAAAAAACTTCTGTACCGCATCCACCTTTAACGCATGCTGCCTTACCAAATCGGTTATCAGGAAATTTTGAATATTAAACTAGAAGCTTAAACTGACTAACACAGTAAATTCTGGTGAAACAAAAAAAAAACATTTTAATGGCATACCAAAAAATAAATAAGCCCAACACTATCAAAACAAATTTTCGTTTTTTTGTATATAGCAATACTGTACATTCCTCAATCTTTGACTCTGGAAGAATTTGAAAACGTTCTATACGTCGTTCAAAATTGGAATGTATTCCATTCTAATAAAGGTTTGTTATTAAGCGACTTTAATTTTGCGAACATTACTGGGATCAATCTAGAAGACAGGAAAACTCGCAAAATCTATAATGATATGAAATAATATAATAGCATCTTAATAGCTATGATAAGTTACAAGACCTAGTAATAAGCAGCTTAAACTGTTTTATAACTCGTGCTTATACATACTCATATACCATTGATAAATGAGGATGCCTATAACCAATATCTCTCAATTGAAATTTTTGGATTCTCTACAAATCAAAATAATTTCATTCTAAATAATAATATATAATGAGTTTTTTCACAATAATTGGAATATTTTGGAAAATAATACTAATATTAATGTTATGTTATGTTGGGAATGGGGTGTTAATACACTGCAACCTAAAAGATCTTTTGCGCCCCGTTCTATCGCTAATGCACCAAGGAAATGTCTCAATGCCTATAACGACCCTTCTCAAGGAAGTGTAGGATTTGGAGTGGCTTTAAGTTAGGTAAATATCCCTCTTCTATTTGATATGATAACTTGTTCTAGCCCTTGGCCATGGCAGCTACTTGGTTGAGAGCTGCGACGTGTGGTTCGTCTGTACCTGGGAGCAGTGATTTCAATGGTTGAATAAGACGATCCACGATGTGGTTTTAGTAGGACATTCCATCCAGTGCGTTTTCATCATAGCTGAACAGTGAATAATGATTGGTTGCAGACAGTTTCTCGGTGTTGCCTGGCAATCAATGTCAATCAATCTGTACCTTGCTCAATCAAATCTCATTTTGGTAGTTTTGGCTGGTCCCCATTACTTCTTTCTCCACTTCGCTAATTTAATTGCCCTCTAGGGTTGTTTGTTCAGAACTATTGAAATAACAACCACTTCGCTGTAGGGATTGATTCAATTGGCCTTAAGGATTGTTCGCTTAGGACTATTAGGATAGCTCCCGGTATTGTATCATCACTGTGAACCATTCGGTATTTCTTTCTTAGGGCTAGCTCCAGGAGCAACCGCTAAAAATTGAGTTCAATCCTAGCATGATTAAAATGCGCAGACGCAGACGGTCCACTACCCTGACAGGTTCTTTGTTAGTACACGTTTTTTTGAAATAACAGTTTCTCTCTCACTTTCTCCACATCTATAAATCTCTCTGGATTACTTATAGTACATGGAAAACGTACAAAAAAAAAGTTTTGCCTTACATCAAATGAGGTAGCTCTGATTTTTTATAAGTTGGTAGTGATGAAATGGGTAATTACAAATCCAAGTTTTCCACCTCGAAAGCCCTTCGGATCACACTTAAATACTTGAAATATCATTAAAATTTAGGAGTTTTTTCCGTTTTTGTCAATTTTTACCAACAAGGACCTACGTTACTGCAAAAGTTACTATGAACACTTTTTAAGTAGACTAAATTTTCAATTAAATGAGAATAATTTGGTTTTGGTAAATCAAATTTTGCAAACTTTTAAATAGCCGTATCTTATAAATTATTTGGCCTACCAAAACCAAATTAATCTCATTTTATTGCAAATTTAGTCTACTTAAAAAGTATACGTTGTACATTTTGCCGTAACACAGGTCCTTGGTCTTAAAAATTGACAAAAACTGAAAAAGTCCTAAAACTTAAAGACTTTTTTAGTATTTAACGAGGTGGAAAATTTGGATTTGTCATTACCATCTCATCACTACTAACATATAAAAAAATCAGAACTACCTCATTTAATATAAGGCAAAAAGTACGAATTCCATGGACTATTATGTAATTAAACTTTATAGTTAGAAATATGCAGATGTTCAATGAAGAAATTAAAAAAAAAGTATATTTCTAATAGCGCCTTTTCATGCTGATACAAATAATTCTTCTAAGAAATACACTACTACTTTATTATTAAAAATAAATACTATCTAAAACACTTCACTCTAGTCATAAAAGAAGTAATTCTGTGATTCTAGTAAAATAAATCAAAAACAAATTCCGCAAAAGTCTCATCTCATCGCAAAGGCGCCCAAAAAAACGAATCCTAAAAGATGAGACACTATGTATCCATTGTACCGTTGTATACGTTTTCTTATTCGTCGTTTGATATATACAAAATTAATAGAAAGTCGCGGCAGAATTTTAAGGCAAAAAGGAAATCTCGGCGGTTTAGCGTGAATTTAAAAGTAAGTATCTACCCCACTAGACGTCTGTAGCGTCGCGTCGCTTTTAATCAAATAAAGTACCCATTTATTCAAACCAAGAATAGGGAATATTACATCCCGCATCGTTTATATCTTTCGTCAGTGTTGTTGGAAGATAGAGAAGCAAATGACATTTGTACGATTTTTATTATAAGAACTTAAGGTAAATTACTCCATTAGTTATTAAAGATAAAGACCATAATTTGTAGATTTAGGATTGTTAGTTGGTTTATTTAGATTAATATATCTAAGTCATATTTCCCACAACTCATTCATAAATACACGTCAGATACGGTTGAAAATAGCATCGTTGTTTAAATTACTGATATTACTGCAATTTTCGTATTATCAGCAGAAAAAGTAGAGAAATAAAATAGTCCAGTTAAAATTTTAATTAGTAAACAATCCAATGGTGTATAAATACTACTCTACTCGCTATAGTTAAGGACTTGACTGTTAGTCAGTTTGTATTATAATGTGTATTAATTTTAATAAAAGGTTGCTATAGGAATAATTGCATAGAATAGAATAATTTATTAACCTTTATTACATAAAAAAGATACACAAGATACACGTATTTATACGATCTTATTGTCCTAATTTTCAGCATGAGTTCTATTCAATTATGTCATATAAATGCAAGATCTATTTCTAGTGATTTTAAACGATTTGTTTTTGATAATTTTGACATTATTACCGTATCAGAGACTTGGCTTTATGCTAACATTTCAAACAACAGTATAAATCTCCCAGGCTACAAACTCTTTCGCAATGATAGAAAAGAAAATATAGAAGGAGGTGTTGCTATATATTTATATATATAAGAAGCATATTCAATGCCAAAATAATAAACAATTTACCCATTAATAGTAAGATAAAGACAAAACTTTGGACTTTATGAAGAAATCAAGATGAGGTAATCTTATAAATTGCCAAGAGAAGATATATATGGAGTTACCAAAGGGTTTGGAAGTAGACAACTCAAATATAATCTGTAAGCGTTGGACGAGTATAGGCTTAAAGCAGGCCATTATAGCTTATTCAATGTTTGCAGAATTTATCTCAACATGCAATTTTTAGTTGATTTAACTAAAGTGACTAGCGAGTGGGAGTGTCAAAATACTACGCTACTTGCTATAGTTAAGGAGATTAAGTTAGATTAGGTTTGTTTACATAGTTAACTGTCAGTTGAATGTCTGTAAAAAAACATTTTACTTCAGTAGTTTACCAAGCCTTAGGTTTTATTTAGACAGAAAACTGGTATTTTTTTAACAATTATTTAATAACTGATAATAACGGTAATTAAACAATTATTAAATAAGTATATGACAAATAAAATATGGTATATAGCATGTTTTAAAATAATATATTAAGCAAAAAGTTTAGAAAAGCAAAGTTTTACTAAACGAACATAGCTTTTGGGTACGAGCGTGCGTAAGTCACATTTTCATTAATTTTCTTGTCTTGTTAGATTACGTGAGATACGGATATTGCTAGAGACTCGTTACAAAGATATGAGCAAACAGTAATTCTAGAAGATCTGGATAGGGCAGACACCATTCCATAATCGCTATACAAGATCGATCTTTGAGAATTCCCATTGTACAATCAAAAGCTTGCAATATTCGCTTTAAGTGGTTTATAATATTTAAATTAGTATTGAAACAGTTAATTAGCGTCTCTTGGGGGCTAATTTAGTAGCACGTGTTACAGCGCAAGGTTCTGCATTGACATAGACGAGCACGTTTTAATTTAGCGTAAATTATGTTGATTGGTTAGAGGCCGATAAAGAACAAGTTATCTTTACAGATTTCATACTTTATCTGTACACTTTTTAAAAGTACATAGATTATCATTTCGTTACTAATTTTAATGACCTGTCAGTGAAAAATCTAGTACGTTGTGTATGCTCGGTTGCCTAGTTATCAAGCGAATTGTGCAAATGTTAATTTTGTGATATAACAATTACATGAAATTAAAATAGTAAAAAATTAAAAAGAAAATTGTAAGATACACATGTTGAAAGTGATATTATTTTATAGAATAAAAAAAAAACATTAAAAACTACTTAATGCAACACTTGTGAGCAGCCGCCATAAAAAAGTTTTACTTTTAATAAAGTCAGTTAAGGCAGTTTTAAGTTTTAAAGAATATGTAGAAAATAGTAGTTTGTGCAACAAGAGTGGATATTGTAATGTGAGCCATTTCATTATTCAGTCATGCTATAATACTCCAAGTCCCTCTCTGTATTATTTGGCCTTTGAGGCTCAACTTGTCCGCTTATTATACACAATTAAACCCCTTAAGACCAAACCTATGGGACGACTATGGTGGAGACACTTTCTCGAACATTCCAGAGTCAACGAGATACTATTTCTAGTCTAAATATAACGTGATAACGTTTCTGGTACCTTCTGGCAATTTTGGTGGGGGAGCATTCTAGACCACCAATTTGTATATTAATTGGTGGAG